GAGCAGGTCATGGGTGGTATGGGGCTTCAGGCAGCCAAGCTTATGGATTAGGGACTCGCAGGTTGTTCCGGAGAGGAATGCGCTGATGACGTCCACGTCGACGACATCAGGGAGGGAGTTGCATCTTTTGGAGAACCTGCGGATGTAATCCTGTAGGGGCTCGCTAGGCTCCTGCTGGCAGCTCTTGAGGTCCCAGGAGTTCCTAGGGTGGACATACGTCCCTTGGAAGTTCCCAACGAAGACCCTCTTGAGGTCCGTCCAGTCGTGGATGCTGTCGCGCGGGATGGAATTCAAGCCATGCTCGAACATGTTCCCCCATGTAGATAGGGAGATACTAAATGATGAAATGGTCATCATCCACCCCACTGGCTCGGCAGGCGAGCCAAAAGTCTTCAAGCCATATATCGGGGTTCATCTCCCCGGTATACTTGGTGATGTTGGTAGGCAGTCGGAAGCGTTGTGGGAACGGTGCTCTTTCGATGGGTCGGCCAAAGGCTCATGGTCCTAGGCCATCCAGGCTAGGACTTTGGTTGTCTGGCCGGCGACCATGCCTAGGGTGCGTCTCACCCCTCCCCGCGATGGCCTAGCCAGGGTCTGTGTCGCCTACCCTCATGGCCGCCCGATGGATGTCATCATCATGCCGGGACTGACGTCGATTGCTGATGACGCTGCGAGCGTCTTGGTTCGTCCTAAGCCACTCGCGCATAGGCGGTCGGTGCGGAGCGGGCGCTAGGTCAGGCTAGGGCGCAGATGCGGCCTCCTATGCCACACTCGGCGACTGTTGCGGTGAGCGGGTGGAGCGATTCATCTGGTGTGTCCCCACTCCCTTGGTGGGGAGAGAGGTCACGAGTCGGTGTCGTGACCCGAAGCTTTCCGCCTATTGAACGATGGTGGTTTCCACCAGTGCCTGGAGGTTCCGGTGGATCGCCTGTTCCTAGGGGTCGTTCAGCTCGGGAAGGCCGCACAGAAGCATTCCTGCGGCGGCGATGTTCTGGCCAGCCCGACCGAACTATGGGGGATCATTCCCCCCGTCCACGATGTTGCGCTGGACATAGCGGGCGTGACCTCGGGCGTCGCTCGCCGGGTTACAGCGTGCCGGCGCAGGTGGCGGTTGGTTCTGCCGCCGTTGTCGTAGCTCCTCACCGTGCTTTTGTGCGAGCGCGAGGGTCCCCGCGTGAGGGTCCGGAGGGGTGTGAGTCTACAAGGACTCCGCTACCATCAGTGGCTGTCCTAGAGCGTCCGCCATAGCGCACTCCTGGGACGGATGGTGGCTAGGTGCCACATCACCGATGCTGGAGCCGTCACTCTCGACCTCATCCTCTATGAGTTCGTTGAAATAGGTAGGAGCGTAGCTCACCATCCCCACGAATTCGGATGTGAGAGGAGGCGGCGTCAGCATCTTTCGGAGCCCCCGGGCGTACATGTCCATGGGGGACGTGAGGCCATAGGGGGACCGGTCGAATGACGGTTGTGGTAGGGACAGCGGGGTCCCTCTGGAGAATCGGCAGAAGATAGTAAATAGCGAGTAAATAACAGCATGTACATTACTCATAGTGGGGTTTGAGCAGAGCGTTTGCTCGAAATGAATCACAGGCGCCTCATCATTGAAGTCGTCGGGTGTCCTGGAGCCGATGGAGGGCACCCCTCCAACGGGTGCCGGAACAAGTGCCTCCTCGCGGAGGTGTAGTACGCCAAGCCGGTCAGCGACGAAGTCCAGGCTTCCGAAGCGGAAAGCCTAGGACGGCTCGAAGACAGGAGGCCCACACATCCCAATAGGTGGGAGTGTGGGGAACCCTAGTGAGCCAAAGCGAGTCATATCGCTTGAGCCCGCCATGGTGAAGGTGGCAGAAAAGTGGGCCATCGGATGAGCAAAAGTGTGAATGTACAGCTTCTTCCCCACGGACGGCGCCAATTGTCGGTGCAGAAAATGACCAACACGTAAATACTTGTAGTTTTGCCATATGTTGTGATCAGATATGGCCTAGCACTCAATGACACAGGGTTTATACTGGTTCAGGCAACATGCCCTACGCCCAGTTTGAGTCGGTCGGTGAATTTATTCTTGAGCCCAGGTGCTCGAAGTTTGCTGTGGGGTTACAAACGGAAGGGAGAAAGATGGGGGTACAAGAGGTCCGATCGGACTCTGGTCTGAAGGGCCGAGAGTGATGGTAGCTCTGCTATGCGCTAAGTGTTCAAACGTATATTGTTCGTTGGGATCCGTGGTCGTTCGGATCGTGTGTGTTGTTCAAGTTGTTGTGGACTGATTCTCTTCCTTTGGGAGAGAGCACATCCCCTTTTATAGATGAAGGGGGTGGCCTTACAAGTGTGTGAGAGAGAGTGTGCGTATGCTAAGTCTTGTTGCCCACGTCGTCGGGTACAAGATGATTGTAGGCGCCCATAACACTGTTAATGTCAGATGCATATGGGAGGTTGCGTCGTCTTCTTCTGGTATGGTAGACGTCAGTGCCTGCCATACTGTTGATGCCCAGAGGCATGCAAGGAGTTTTACCGTGCTCGTCTGGTATGGGAGTTTGTGGGCGCCCACAACACTGTAGGGCAAATGTCGGCGCCCACAACACTGCTTGGGTTCTGGCATGCCTGGAAGGTTGCTGGGCACCCTCCTGACATGTCCTGTCAGTTACTGTCCTGTAGGTGTGTAGGGTACAATCCTCGGTATTGTGGTTGACTTGAGTGCCCTGCCTTACTTGCCCCGTCCATTTCCTGGTCCTTACCAAGCGGGCGTCCCCGGTCCGTTGGTCCTAGTCGGCTCCGACTACGCCAGTCTGACAAGAGCTGTAAGCAGGGGTTTGGTGCATTCCTGGAAGCAAGCGTTGTTCCTCTTTGGCCGGGCCTTCTGGTCGGAGAGGCAGGCTGGAGTCAGAAGCGAGCGTTGTTCCTCCTTAGCAAGGCCTTCCGGTCGGAGATTGGATCGCCCTTCTGGCTGTCGTTTAGGTATTTGGGCCGGTCCAGGAGTTTGCGCGTCGTTCGCAACGTCGTCTGCTGGGCCTAGCCTTTGCTGGGAAGCCGATCCATGAGGGACCCTGGGTTTATGTACCTGACACATCATGAAGCTGTAGATAGTTCACGGAGTGTCATTTTATCAATAGAAAAGTTCAGTTTGCCTCACTTCACTACCTTCTCTCATTTCCTACAATAGTAAGATGCTGGCTAGAGAATCATTCATGAGTACTTGCCAGAAAACATTAAAGCACTGAATGGCACTGGAAAAAAATTAGTTAACATATAGTACTCCTATATCCTTATATTATGGTCTAAAAAATCAGAACAACAACTACATTGGCTGGATTATGATCATAAGTTAGTAGTAAAATTAGTAATCTCTAAACTGCAAACCCTCCTTAAAAAACTGCAGTCCCATGTCCAAGGATCGGACAAAGAGCTGTTACTAACAGCTCCGAAGGTTCCAAAGGTGCTCACCCAGATAAAACAACAAGCACCTTTGCGTGCACAATAAACTGAAATCCTATTAGAACAAACCATGTCTAGCAAATATATTTTTCCCATAAGCTGAATTGCTGCCTTGCAACAACCTTGTTATAGGCTAGCTTCACAATACCAGATTTTATAGCAGATCTAAGCACATACAGGTACAAGTTTTGAGCAGCATGGTTGAACAATTGTGAGCTGTAAATATCTGTTGTTCGTACCATGTGCGTGCAAGAATCAACAAATCAATAGATGAAACCTCTTTTTTTGCAAACATGAATATATGTTGAGATTGGCTCTGATATAATTGACATGATGCTTAATTCTGAATTTAAACAACTGTCCAAAAAATAGTCCCTTTCATGATATAGATATGTTCATACCTGATTTAGGCAACGTGTTTCAATATTGCAGAAAATATGACCTTGTTCGCCACTTTGAATCTTTTATCCTGTTAAAGTACCAGTGTCACCTCAGTCATATACATGTATCACAATTCTTTTCATATATCTAAAGAAGCATATACAAATTATAGCACAATTCCATGTGTTAGTTGAATTTGATAGTTGGTTCTGTAGTTCACTAAAACAAATATTTTAAAAATCATGTCCTTTTTCTATTTTGGGTGTATGGGTAGATACATTAGCAGATTTACTCACAAACACAAACCATTCCAAAGAATACAAGCTTTGAACATATTGCAATATCAAAAATTGGGAAATCAGTAAATAAATTCACCAATATAAAAATACATTGCAATGATCAAGTTGCAGCTTTATTATCATTAGACAACCACCAGAGTAACTTCAATTCTTAGTTTTAGATTATAGGAAATGATGAATATTTCAACTTTCAAGGGACAGGATGTATACCTCAGGTCTTAGTTTCAAGTCTCAGTCTGATCTCTTATAGCCAGTGCTCACGAAACACTCCTTGCATGGGAGAAAGCTTGCTTCTGTGGTTCCTGCAATATTGAACACCTAGTAGTTATCCCAACAATGATTTTAATGGGTAAAAGACCTATCCAACCAAAGTCTTCACTATCAAGTCGCAACAAAAGCTGCAACAAAGAAATGTATACCAAAGTCTGGACGGCGGTGCGAGGACGCGGGCTTGTGGCTACGGCGCGGTCTGACGGCACTGGACGACGCGTTTTCTGCTGTGCTGAGGGATCCAGAAGGAAGGAGCGCATGATTGACATTCCTTTTTTCATACCTGGGAAGAAAGGAGCGCGTTGGAAGTTTTTTTCGCACGTAAAGCGGCAGACCGACATAGCGATGCTTTTGTCGCACGAAGATAGTGTCCTTGTTTTACTCTTTTTAGTTGTGAGAGATGTACCCAAAATTTATCCACTCGTCTACTGAGGTCAGCACAAACTACACATAATAGTATTGGCCAGACATGACTGCTATTTATATGCGTCAAAATTTAAACAACAAACATTTATTCACTGCAGCAGAAAAGTAAAGTTGACAAAAAGTGTATGGATGGTTCGGCTAACCTGGAGTGGCAATGTCGGTGATGAAGAAATATTAGGACCCTTAATCCTATTGCTACTGCATCACCACTGTTGCGTCATCGTCGTAGTCGGCACTACGGGACAGGGGCCAACTCTGTATTGCATTAACAACCAATAGCTCAGAGAGTTTAATCCAGATAATGTGATAACTTTCATCTAGTGCAAGCAAGAATCCACTCAGGGGTGCAAATATAGCTCTGCAATATAAGCTCTGAAGCTCTGAATTATTAGACTCATGCCGCTGGTCCGATATAAGATCTGAAGCTCTGAATTATTAGATTCAAAAATTTGCATCAGTTAAAAAAAACAAAAGTCAAATCAAAACACTGGACATGGGGCTGGATGTTCCACATCGTGGTGTCGAAGGAGCGGGGTTGGATGTTCATCGAAATCTAGGACGACTTCAATGGTTCCGACACCACTGACTTTCTTGTCTTCCATTTCTATACTGTTGTGCACCGCTGGCTCCACGGCCTGCTCTAGGATAAGTGCGACAAAGAGGAGAAGCAATTGATTGCTAAAAGGTGCATGCGGACTTCTCAAACAGAATCACTAACTCATTTGCCATCAATCATTATCGGCCAATTTTTGAACGCATACAGTTTCTGGCACAATAACTTTTCAATCATTTTACAAAATATTATCATCCCTGAAAAGATAAAAACTGTCTATCCAAATTTCCATCCCATGTTAAAGTTAATGGCTTCAAGAGAACTATCTATCCAAATCTCAGGAATAATGGTTGGTACCTTATTCAGGAGAGAAAATGCAGTCCGTACAGGATAGTGATCATCCAAGAAAGCCACAGCACAAAGCCCATCCTGTTGTGGGAGTAGAACTTGTATTCTGAAATGAAAAGAGAATGTACATCAAAACAACATGCGGGAATACAGTACAAAAATGTATTCCAAATCTGTAAAGCAAACAGGGCCAGCCATAATGTTATGATCGCTTAGCTACTACAAGATGCGATGCAAGTGCAAATGGTTCAAGGATTGCTCGAATTTTATTGAGATGATGAACAGTGGGCCTAAACACAAATTCAGCAATAAGGTCAGTTGCAACATTAGATGCATTAACAGACATCACTACTTTCCCCACATGCAGCACAAACAATCTCACTACTCGCAACGACCATCAAACCACCAGTGGATCTGTAGCCGAAGGTTGCCCATGGACAAATTAGTACCGGATCTCCTCACGGGATCTGAAACCGATCAGATATGAGGAGGTTGCCTTTGTACTGGATGGACTGCCACTGGCCTAGCTGGGTGTGCTGAGTGATGGTATTGGTGACGAAGATGATGAACGCGCAGGGAGATCTTGCGGCTACGAAGGCCCATTGCTTTGGTATCTCGGAGGTCAACGAACGTCGCAGTACTGGGGAGGCGCACCGGGCAGCGGACCAGCAAGGTGTCGTGGCCATGGATGGTTGGTGGCGTAGATCAGGATGCAAGAGCGACGCTGGCGTCCATGTCGATGTAACGCAGTAGTGGCATTGGCAACGCACTGGAGGAGACCGGGGGAAGCGAGGAACGTCGGGTGGCCTCCGCAGTCGGGATGCCGCGCCGGCTCCGCTACAGGGAAGGTGGCCTCGGGGCTTGCGCGGGCGGCGGCGGGCGGTGCGCAGGGTGGTCGCGGGTGCGCGGGCGGCGGCGGGCGGTGCACAGGGCGGTTGCAAGCGGTGGAGGCGCGCTGCGACGCTGCAGGGGGCGCGAGGGGTGCGGGTCTACGGGATTGCAGGATTGTGACGAGCGAGGTTTCCTCCTTCCTTTTTCACAAGCGAGGGGGCATAGGTGAGAGGGGTGGGGGATAGTGGGAGGCAAGACGAAGGGCCAAAGTTGATTGTCGCAAGAAAAGATGTTCACTCTTTAGTTTTTTAGTTGCGGAAGAAGTTGTGGCTAATTCACAGACAACCTAATTAAGCATTAATTAGCACATGTTCTGTAGCATCTTTTTTTTAGCACACCCTAGCATCATATCGGCCAATCATTATTAGATGGCCTCAATGCCCAGAACAGCCCAGATAAGCGACCGGGCCATTAGAGTTAGCGTCCGAGCATGGCCTGGCCCACGTTTGACAAACGAGCAACGGAGCAAGGTGGGGTGAAAGCAGTTCACGGCCGTACATGGCCGTACCACAAGGGACTACATGACCATATCGCAAGGGATGGTCTAGCCCACAAGATGATGGCTTGCGGTTCACGGCACAGTTCAGCGCATGCCGCAAGGCACCTCGACAACATCCCAAAGAGCGTGTTTAATCTATTAGGATATGCTGAATGTACGTTTCCATGTAAAGAATATCTGCTACCCGATCAGACTTAGACCTGATCGGCATGTAACCCTACCCCTAGTCTATATAAGGCAGGTAGGGGACCCCCTCAAAACACACGCAATCATATACGATAGCCAATACAAACCGACAGGACACAAGATTAGGGTATTACGTCAAGTTGATGGCCTAAACTTGTCTAAATCTTGTGTCTTGTCACCATCTCGCTCCTAATCTCGCTCACCTCTATGACAATCTACCATCATGAGTATACCCCTCGGTGGACTGCCGAGCACATTTAGTCGACAGTTGGCGCGCCAGGTTGGGGTGTGCGCTTGATCCCATGATGGGCCAGATGGTATGTTTTTTCAAGCTCTCTGTTCGCCCCTAGGGCCATCCAAACCTTCACGGTCAGTTCCATCACCTAGGTCATCAATGCCAACGGCGACGGGTAGGTCATCCAGTCGGTGCACGACAACCCCGTGTCGATAGCTTCGACATCTGTGCCAGTAGATCTGATCTTGGGATCTCTTCCGGGTTTGTCTTCTTCTCTGGTGGCTCACCCTTCGGCACCATGCCGGCTGAGGAAGCCCGTCCAGCAGGACGACCTGATTGCATCTATAGATTGGGTTAACGAGAAGCTCACCGAATGCTTGCCACTCACAGAGTCAATCGAAGATCGGTCTCCTTATGACAACGAGTATCCTCCGTTCTAGGTGGTGCGCCCTAAGCGCTCCGCTCGGTCACGCCGCCCGTGGTGGCAAGATGCCGATTTGACCATCACGGTGACTCCACAAGGGCGCATAGTGCAGCATCGACCGCTCTCCAGATCTGACCAGCCCAAGGCTAGTCGGCAAGCTCCAACACAGGGTCCCACGATGGCTCACCCCTATGGGGTGGCCAACATAGCCGCTTCATATCAAGAGGCCCTGCATGATCTCTACGCTGACTAGATCGGCGACATTCATTTGCTCACTATGCTCATTCTACCAAGTGCTGACCAGTTTGCACTGCCCATCAACATGCTACAGATTCGTCAGCTCAATGATGACTCTCTGCTCCCGATCTTGGAGGCAGATTCGATGGTAGAATCGGAAGGCTCCACAAAAATAGTCACCAATGGTGGCGGCACTGTCCATAACCAGGGAGGGCACTGTGTTGTCTGCAACCTCAATTGGGAATTCATCCAAGTTGATGAGCATAAGGTCTTACTAACACTGAGCACCAACCTCATCGTTGCCATGAACGAGCTAGGCAGGCTCACGCTGTCACTAGATCTCGCCAAAGCCACCGCCATGCTCAAAGCAACCACGGTTTAGGTTAACGAAAATCACAGAATAAGGCGCCATCTCCCTCCACCTCTTCAAACCGATCTGCTAGGCCACGTAGGGCCCGATCCCAGTGACCTGGTGGAAGTCGCCTCTAGGCAGGCGACCCTTATCTCTAAGGGGGATCAAGAGGCAATTACATTGTCAATCCCGGGGAACGATCGCAGTATGCCAACCTGCTAGTGACTTACGACAGCATCTCAATAATCGTCATGACGTTCATCGCCGTATCAATAATCGGCGCAACTCGCGCCACGCGGAGGAGATTGTTCGCCTCTAGCAACACGATGAAGCTTGGGGCAATCCTAAGGCAGCGTTTGAGCCGATCTAGCCGGCTCACTCCGCCAATGTCGCCTAGCCCACTGGAGACGCTGCTCGGCCTGCCACCGGCAATGCCGCCCGACCAATTGCCGGTGCCGCTATTCTACCAGCCGCTAGAGACGCAGCCATCACCTTCAATAACGATGGTCCACAAGCATTCATCACAAAGTTTTAGGCTGTACAGTGGCCCCCAACTTCAAGATCTCCGGTGTTGAGCAGTACGACGGTCATGCCAACCCTGAGCAATGGCTCACGAGCTACACCACAGCTATGTGGGCGGTGGCGGCAACACCGATGTCATGGCGAACTACTTCCCGGTCATGCTTAAGCTCACCGTGATGAATTGGCTCACGAGCCTCCAGTCGGACATCATCGACTCATGGGATGACCTCAAGAGGTTGTTCGTTGAGAATTACAAGGCTACATGTGAGGAGCCGGGGACGAAGCATGACCTGGCCAGAGTCTAGCAGAAGCCTAGCGAGCTCCTTTGGAGCTACATCAGGCGTTTCTCCAAGGTTAGGAATTATATTCCAAACATCCTGGAGTCTGAAGTTATCACCGCCTTTATCCAAGGACTTTGCCATCATGATGAGCTCCGCAGAAAGTTCAATAGGAAGCCACCAGCGTCGATCGGCGAGATGTTCACAACCGCCAAATAATATGCTGACACTAAGTAGGCTGACTTGCGTTACCGTGAGGATATCATCCGGGTTCCATGGCCCGATCGTCCACCATGTCACAATGACGAACGTCATGATGAACGGTGCAGCGATGATCGAGACCACCGCTACGACTACCACGAGCATCACCTCGACAACCATGATCATCATGACAAACAGGAGGCCTCTAGGGTAGGACAACTCTAATGCCGCTGACCAGAGAACTTCGTCACCTCCATCGAGCAGCCTCATGCTAAGCGCAACTACAACACACAGTTCGACAAGCTCCTCGACGGCTCATGCCCGATCCACAAGGGCACAAAGCATACCATGAGAGAGTGCATGGGTCTAGCGAATATCTTCCAAGAACAGGCGGATAAGAGATGTATAGACGACAATAATGGTGGCAAGGATCACGACCCCCAACACGGGCGGAGCATTTCAAGATCCTAGCAAGACCATCCACATGATCTTTAGAGGTCTGGCTGCCTCCGAGAACAAGCATGACAAGAAGCTCACTTCCCAGCAAGTCTTATCCATCAGGGGCATCAACACCGTCGCCGACCCCAGATACCTCCCCTGGTCAGAACAGCCCATCACTTTCAGCATGGCCGACCAATGGGTGGAAATACCTTACACAAGATGCTTCCCCCTCGTGCTGGACACTATCATCCGCAAGGTGTGCTTCATGAAGGTCCTCATCGACAGTGGCAGTGCCATCAACATCCTCTTCGCTAGCGCCTTGTCTGAACTAGGCCTCTCCAAGGAAGATCTCACCCCCATCAACTCTCCTTTCTGGGGGGTCATCCTAGGAAAGGCTTGCTAGCCCCTGGGCAAAATCACTTTGCCGGTGCAGTACGGCGCCATCGAGATGTTTTGCATCGAGTATATTAGCTTTTGGTGGCTGATTTCGACACCGCCTACTATGCCATACTCGGCCATCCGGCATTGACCAAGTTCATGGTCATACCACACTATCCTTACATGGTGCTCAAGATGCCAGCCCCCGGAGGAGTCCTTACCTTGCAGGCTAACTTCATCATAGCCTACGCTTGTGAGAAGGAGAGTCTCGCACTCATCGAGGCAGTCGACCTCTCCTTTCGCATGGACGCCTACCTCATCGAGTAAAAGAAGGTGTCCTCGAAAGAGCAGTAGATCCTGATGATGGCGGCGCCTTGTGAAGCTACTGAGGCCAAGGAAACCAAGGAGGTGAGCCTTGGCCTCGCCGACCCATCCAAGACCATGAAGATCGGGCCCCACCTAGACCTCAAATAGGAAGGTGCGCTTGTTAGTTTCCTACGTACCAACGCAGATGTGTTTGCATGGAAACATATAGACACGCCTGGGGTACCAAGGGAGCTGATCGGGCACTCCTTACATGTCTCACCGACCGCCACGACGATCCTGCAGGAGCTCCGATGATTCGTGCTAGACAAGAAGGAGGCTATTAGGGTAGAATTAAACCGGCTTCTAGCAGTCGGATTTATTAAAGAAGTGTATCATCCCGAATGACTGGCTAACCCAGTGCTCATTCAAAAGAAGAATAAAGAATGAAGAATGTGCGTTGATTACACCGATCTCAACAAACACTGCCCTAAAGACCCCTTTGGTCTTCCTCGCATCAATGAGGTCATTGATTCTACTGCCGGTTGTGAATTACTTTCTTTTTTAGATTGTTATTCTGGTTATCACCAGATCTCCTTGAAAGAGGAGGACCGGATCAAAACATCCTTCATCACACCGTTCGGCACCAACTGTTACCCCACCATGTCCTTTAGACTCAAAAATGCTGGTGCGACGTATCAAAGAGCTATTCAGTGTTGCCTGAAAGATCAGATAGGGC